AAATTGGGACGTTGATCCTAATTCGGAAGTTGTGTTTGTAAACTTTGTCTATATAGGGAAATGCAAAGTTTGCATGTAAACCCAATTATTGCAAAGTTTTTCGTTGGTCAGAATACAGTTGTGTCACAATAACAGACGCCATTTTTTGGTGGTGCTGGGGTAGTTGCCTTTCCCTTGATAAGATAATAACATCGCGCAGCAAACATCTTTCTAACTAAAAGGCGACTGTCGAGAAAACCGAGCGAGAGTTGACGGCAGAGATAGAGAAGGAGTTGAACGATGCCAAGACGGCGTTGGCGAACTTCGAGGAGGACGAGAACGGAGGGAAGCTGTTGGGGGAATTGAGAAAAGCATAGGGAGGGGAGGAGGACTAAATGCAGCGCAGAAGCAGCTGTGGGAGCGGAGAAGAGACTGGAGGGTGAAGTGACCAAATGCAGGGAAGACCTGCGACAGGCGCGGGCTCAACCAGGTAACGACTTTGTGACTCGGGCATTGGGGACATAGAGTAGTGTGTACATAGGGTAGAGTAGGACAGTAGAACCGTTTTATGAGTAGAATTGTATTAATGTTTCAGCATTGACTTTTAACCTTTCCCTTTCTTTCTTTCTATTTATCTATATATATAGCGAATGACAGTCCTACATTTTCTTCTCCTTGCCTACTCATTTGTCTTCTCCACAGTTAAAGTGAATTCATTTCCATCTTTATGACATGGGCAACTAGTCATGTCAGAAAAAACAATGACAACGCGACACGATTAGCGGTAGAATGGGACCCGTGATTGTCTTCTAATATCCAGGAAATTCAGCGATTAGGAAAACGAAAACTCGATGAAACTGATTTCGAGAATTCTCCCGTTTGGCGCTTCATCCGCGTGACTGGTCCATTGGGATCTCAAAAAGTTGAAATCACTGCGGAATACAATTCTGGGCTTGGTAGCGCGACATATGGCCAGAATGGCCATACACCCGCATATACTCCAGACAAAGAGAGGTCTAATGTGATAACGGGTGTCAATATCTCGCCAGACGAGGCGACGGCAGTAGTATCTTTTCAGAAGACCGTGAATACAATTCTGGGCTTGGTAGCGCGACATATGGCCAGAATGGCCATACACCCGTATATACTCCAGACAAAGAGAGGTCTAATGTGATAACGGGTGTCGATATCTCGCCAGACGAGGCGAAACTTTGGTTCGAAATCTTAGGAGAAAAAAAATATGTAAGCATTTGATGGATGAATTCAGCAATACGCAAGATGTGCTTTCTCATATTGTCTGGATACTACAAGCGCAAGCTCAGAGATTGAGAAGCGTTATAACGGGTGTCGATATCTCGCCAGACGAGGCGAAACTTTGGTTCGAAATCTTAGGAGAAGACAAATATGTAAGCATTTGATGGATGAATTCAGCAATACGCAAGATGCGAAAGATGTGCTTTCTCATATTGTCTGGATACTACAAGCGCAAGCTCAGAGATTGAGAAGCGTTCAAGAAATAATTAGTTAGGATAAAAATATCACATATAGCATGGTGGGAAGAACAACTAATGGTAAAACGCATGTAATGTGACCTCATCTATAGTAACAACTATAATAAAAGCCTTGTTCGACTCAATGTCACTTGTGAGCCTAAGATGACGTATTCCTCTCTGAATTTGCTGCTAATGCAGTAAAGTAGTACCGGCAGCAAATATTTGCAATTGTCAGAAACTGCTATTTGCGCAGCAACGGCTAAAGTAACAATAGTGATGGTAGATTAGTAATTAGAATTTAGATCGATCAATTAGTAGACGATAAAGTATATAAGCAGCTTAGAAGTCGTTTAGCATCGGTGTGTTCCATGTTCGCGATGTTCGAGATCTAACATTTATTCCTTATATCGAAGACGTTCGATTTCCTTTATTTCTTAT